TTTCACGATTTTGATTGGTTAAAGGTAACAGGTGACTATCGGGTAATCTCGTGATGCGTTTGCCTTTGGAATACTCGTTAAATATTTCTTTTATATTATCTTGATTTTTTATTATGCAAATCGACTTTCATTTATAATTGAAAAATGTCGATCATGTCAAAATTTATATGAATCTAATAAAAACTCGTTTTTCGAAAAATGTAAAAATGGGCGGATTCGGATTTGGGATTTACTAATTTCCTCCACCACTTCTGATTGGCTGTACTATTATTCAATTATCAAGTAAAAATTCTCGCTGTTGAGCTAGAGTTAGTATTTTGCCCTTAGGTTATGATAAGAGGGTGTTTCTTGTACCAAAATTTTCTAAGAAAACTTTTTAATTAGTGCGCAGAAGACAGTTTCATAAGTTGAATGTAGAGTTATGAGCGATTTTTGTATTTTTACGTTTCTTTTACATTACACCTGATCGTTAAATTTGATTGGCTCCAATGAGTAAGTAATTAGCACAGCTAATCAGAAGTGGTGGGGGAAATTAGGGCATTCGCGGATTTGAGGAATTACTATTAACAATGTTAAAAACTTTAACAGTGAATAATTCTTTATACATTGATCCATCTTGGATGATTTTACCACCAAAATGATTGTCTCGATGAGATGATTCTAACGAGCCCAAAATCGTTAAAATTCAATCACGGAATTCTGAGATTATTAAGGGTCGTAAGCAGGGGAGTCGTGTGGTTGCTTCTTTTTTCGATCACGTGATCTTACATCACTCCGCAAATATAATCGACTAATAGAAATTCGTTATTTTTATCAGGTGACCAAAGGCACCCATAACAATAGTAAAGAAATTTTTAAATCTTGAACCGTCAATATACTGTATTATATTTAAATAAGAGCAATGTCTACAAAGCTATTAGAGTATACTATAGGCTATCGTAGTCTACGTAGTGGAGACTGATCCCGGGTTGTGAAAGAACAAAAAGTTAAATAAATATTTTTTTATAAAAAAAAAAGCCGTGCGGCCGTGTGACTAAACACTAGTCAATGATATGAAAATCAATTATATAAGTTTGTGTGGCCTAATATATATATATTAAATAAAATTCTATAAAATTTGAAGTTTTTAATAAAATTTTACTTGCAAATATAAGTACGTAATACAGTTACAATTATAAACAGTTAATGACTTGTATGTTATCGATTATAGGTTACTAGAAGGATTGTTTTAACTCTGATGCTGACCTTAGGATATATGCATATCATACGTAGGACATGCTTTTTAAAATCAATGACTCCTTTTTGAAAAAACATTATTTCTTTTAAATTACCAATACATCGCCAATTGGGTGGGTATTTAACCATGCATTGACTATAATTCTAAATTACTATTTATCGTATGAACAGAGATGAGCTAAAACCTTATGGTTTTATTCATTAATAAAAAAATCAAGTGATCGATATAAAATATTATATAAATTACTACAAGATTTTAGACTTCATTTTGGCAGATTGGTTAAATTTAATTTAGCATAAAAACACTCTCATTTTATAAATAATAGCCCAATTTAAATATAGTTTGGTCATGTAAGATTCTTGCTGATAATTAAAACAATCGACTATTTTTCAAAATAAATATATGATGCATGACAGTAAGTATAGGTTATAATGTGTGATGATTTAACATCGTAGTTCGCTGGTAAGTATACATGGTCGATCGATTTTAGATTCACATCGACATGTATTCTTATTTTTTATATGGAAACTCGAATCTCAGGTGAGAATCGGAACAAAATATGATTAGAGTATAAAAATACATTTGAGTAAAGTGAACCGACCATGTATGTTAAACAGATGCGAGTCGAAAGTTTAGACAATTTAGCGGCTGGTAAGACAAATCAATACGCTTAAAATCGATTCAAAATGACTTTGGATGGGAATCGATTCGAAACACTATGCCGGAAGCAGTTTACAAATCACGATTTTAAATGAGAATTGAGAGATTTTAAAAAATTTTCGTGATTTTAAAAATTTTCAGACTATTTTAATATTAGTGATTTCCAGCTACCATAATCACGATTATTAAAGGGTCTCATCATCTTTTTGCAACAACCGGCTGGAGAATAATAACTTAATATAGCTGATAACATTTTAAAAAATTAAACCATATCACATGATTGATCGACATGGCAGTGGATAGGATATCAAACACAAGTCACTTAAGACCGAAACCTGTGATTAAGTCATGAGCCTTATCTGAGATAGAAATTAGAATTCTGCCCGAGATTAGAAGAAAATAAACTAGGTAGTAAGTAAATATAAATTAGAGGATAAATTAAAATGAACAAAGAGAATCAACTTAAATACATAAATCCACGTATGTAGAGATTTGAGTTCTAGATTAGCAGCTAATCCATGCAACGATTACCTCTAATTACTTTAGTTCTATACTGGAACCATTTCCCGATACTAGCAAACTTTTCTTACTAATATGTATTAAAATATGTATTATACATTTCCGAACTAAATATTTATGAAAAGTGGTTAGACAATTACTCTGAACTTGAAATTTACATTCGATTACTGAATTGATTGTAAAAAAGTATTCCTGAAAACACTTATAGTGTTCTTTGTGCGTACAAAATTAAAATAATAACTAATTTTTGGCGTCTTAATTCTTAATTGAAAGTAGTGTAAAGTACTTATAATACATTTATGAGCAACTTGAAATTTTCAATTTTGGTCTCTTACGAAACCTCGATAGTAGAGATGTCTGTACATCACGCGAGAATTCATTTTAGAACATTAAATGTTGATTAATAAAAAAAATTTCTGAATTGAAAATTTTATAAATTTTATATGCAAGTGAGATAAATCGTCATGCCGCTGTGCTTAAGTACTAATTCATACTATGCACGTTTTATAGTGAAAACTTTGACAATGCATACATACTGTGCATCGGTTATTTGTAGAATAATAAGTCATGTATCATTAGAACTAGAGATTAATTAATATTTATAGGTATTTACAATTGTTTATTAAGTAAGGTAACTATATTTAAGACTTTATATTTAAGACTTTAAAATTAATCATTATTTTATAAATCACCATACAGATCACAATTTTTTATATACTGAATGTATTGTTCATAAATCATTGATGAATCTAGAATTCGCTATAATTTCTTAACAATACCATTATGTTATATACTGGATGACATTAGAATTTACGTGATAGGTAAATGAACAATACGACAATGGATTAAATGATTTTGTAAAAAAGTTTTTGATTACATTGAAAGGATGCATGCTGTTACAGGTAATAGAATTTTGTAGTTGAAATAATACCTCTGATCGTTTTTTTTTTTTCAGAACTTTTAAACAATCCACAAAATTGTTTAAGTCTCTCATTTATATAACACAAGTTCCGTAAAAATTTTGCTCTTCAATTTTTTACACCCAAAAACACGCACTCGATACGATATATTATAAAGAAAAAATGACCGCGTCACAAAAAACATTTTATCTCTGGTTCGAAGAAAATTACAAGAACATACCATATTACATTTACGTTTTATTCACTTTTAAAATCCTTCTGAAAATCGAAAATATCGGATATGAACATTTATCACTCAATGATCTCGAAAATAGTCTATACAAAATAGGAAAACTTCGTCATAAACTATTAGAGTCGAATAGGCATCCAGATTTATCGAAATATTATAAACATCGGGAACTAATAACCTCAAAGAAGAATTGTTTTAAGAATTTACAAGCAAATTCATTACTAAGTTTTACTCTCGCCCAATTGGTGGATGAAGTTGATAGAGCCGCAAAGTATCGGGCATATAAAAAGAAAGAGAATGATAGTGATTCAGATGGAGGATATTATCATTTATTTGAAGTTGAAAATTTTTCGTTTTCTCCTGAGAACTTATTCCGATGGTTAAAAAGATTCAAAACAAGTAGGAAATCACCCTTCCGCGCGATTATTGAAGAACAAATATCGATATTATATGGAGTTGGAGACACTATTGAACATATAGTTATGTTGCAAACACTTTTACGAAATGGAGTTGATCCGTTTTTAGAGTTTGAAAATGGGAAAAATAAACCTACACAAGATGATGCGGATATTTGGTTAATTATGGTGTATACAACTAGTAAACTTTTAGAAAAACTCGAAAAGGATATGGTTGAAATTGAAGAACCACAAATTGATTTTATATACACACAATTAATTAATGACTTAGAACCATTTTTAAAGACAATTCAAGACATTACTATTGATATACGATGGAAAGAATCCGAATTAATCGAAGATTATCCACAATATACAAATAACAAATTAGTTGAACATAAAAATTCGCAATATAAACACGATGATTTATTTGAGGAATATAATCTAGAATATTATCTAGAATATAATCTAGAATATTCACCCGATAAGACGAAGCAACAACATCCTAATTTCTTTTCCTTTTGTATTTATTACTTAATTATTCCTATTTTTTATTTTTTTTATCTTTGCATATATTTATCATATACGCGTCGGAATCTCTTCACACAAGAATTTGAATTTGTGAAAATTATTTTTTTGGGTTGTCATATTTTTTGGATGTGTTATGTTTATAAAGAAACTGTAAAAAAGTATTTGAAAATTTTTATAGTTTCTTTGGGAATAATTATTATATATAGACATTATTATTATTTCTTTGATGATGAACTTTATATTTTATACTATTAGTAATTATATAATTTAGATAGATAATTAATATTTTATTTATTGTAAACGTAGAATTGTAAATTATTATTATTTTTTTTTTTGGTATTAAACGTTTTTACTGATTATAGATTTCATATTATTTTATTGTATTAGGGTGTTTTCAGCAAATGATCGTAATAGTGCACAACCGTTAGTAAAATTTATATAAATAGACCTTTATTAACGATCAATAAAACGAATAATGGTATAATTGACGTAGGGTGTTCTCAAGCGTATTAATAAAAGGTCAAAAAGTTTCGGGGAATAAATTTTATTTAGCGTAAAATATTTAAAATTGGTTAAGCGTATTTACTAGCGATGTAAACCAAACCCGATAGTTTGGGACTTAGTAGAATCCCAAAGGTTTTTACTAGATTCTACTAATTATGTAGTAACCCAAACTGTAAACAATGATTTATATATTCAAATATGATTGGCCAATTACGAGATATACAATACTCTGTTTGGTTATAAAAAATCCTTTCGCAGTTGGTTCAAGACATTTTCATTCACGTACCCAATTTATAATTTCCGGTATAATTTCGTGTTTCCGGATTCACAGAAGTCAAATGTTGCTCTATAAAGAGAAATTACTAGGTTATAAAGGTTTAATGAGCAGAAGCTATATACTGTATGAACTTGCGAATGCCAATTATATTTTTTTTGTTTATTAATGTATAAATTTATATATAAAAATTTTTATTTATAAAGTAAAAAACATAAGACTTTCGGGATAAGCTCTTAATAATAGAACACGACCATCTCAACAGACATTTGATAATATCTCTTTCAAATTCGAATTAAATAACAATAAATAACAATATATTTAGCATGTCAGACATTACGTGGCATTTCAATTTTTTTTTTAACTCAATAATTAAAATTTCTAAACGATAATATATATTTATTTATAATTAATAATACAAAAGGATATTCTATAGAATAGGTAGGCAAACTCCGCTAAACTCCGCTGAATATATTAAAGATTAATGATTACTAATCATTAGCAAAGCTTATTTCTTATATTGCCCACCTATTCTATAGAACATCCATACAAAATCTGTGTTACTTATAAATCTTCATTAGTGAATTGAAATTTACTTTCCACAATTGTTACAGGGTCGAATTCCATATTATCACTTCTTTGTGTTGTAAAAGATATGTCGTCAAAATTACTCTGCCTATCAAAATTAGTATATGATAAATCAACTATAAAACTGATCTGAAGTTTTTTATTAATTGATTGAATAGATTCTGGAGCATCTTCATGTTGTTTTAAAACTACGTGATTTTCTGTAGTAGCATAAGTAGTTAAAGCTAATGCACTATCACACAACTCATCTTTAGACAATTCTTTACTATAATATTTAAGTTCATTTTTAAGGTTAGAAATATAGAAAAAATAGATTTGTGTTATGTTTGCAATTTTCTCAGAAGATAATTATGAATGATATGTGTCATACAACTATCATAAAACAGAAAAATTATACTTACAGCTTGTCTGTGAAAGTACAATTGCAAAAAGAATTTGTGCAAGATTCTGAAGATAAGTATAGTTATCCTTATAGATGTTAGTAGAATTAATTTTGGAAATTATTGAATTACAGCACATGTTATATTTTTTGCCATAATTATAGAGTGCTATAATGTTGTAATTCTGTAATGCTGTAATTCTGTAATACTGTAATTCTATAATATTATAATCCTGTAATCCTATAATCTCATAATGCCACAGTATTGAAATGCTATTATGTAAAATAGTATAATGCTGAAGAATTGTTTTGATGAGTGATACTAAGAGAAAACTAGACTTTAGGCTTTTATATTTGTAACATACTAGTGAATATGACAAAAAACAACTATATAAGCTAAAGTTTGTTTTTCTTGTTATACTCATATGAAAAAAACTATATTCAATTCAAAACATAGCTTAAATTACAGTTTAGCTAGTAACTAAAGTATAGCTCTGCTAACTCAATTAATAGCTAAGTATAAACTCAGTTTAGTTTAAGCTATGAGCTTAGCTTTGGCTTATACTATAACTCAGCTCTAGGTTAGACTTTTTACCTACCTAGTATAGTAACTAGAAGTATTACAAGTAAATCATAAAATATGTATATATTTTATATATTACCAAATATAAATAATTTATTTAATAGTTTTTCCTCAAACCTATAGAGTATTAATAAATTTAAATATAAATATTATACTAACTTGTATATAGTCTTTATTCATTATATTTATTATATCTTCATTACTTTTATATTTGCTATTAGAGCTAAATGCAATTGCTTTTTTTAACTTATAATAAAAATCTTTTTATTTTTTATTATAATTTAATTTATTATGAGTATAGTTATTTCTGATTCTATTTCTGATAGTTCTAAGGAAAAAAAGCAAGGCTGCAAAGAATCTTGTGTTTGGGATTATTTTACTAAAGAATCAATTAGAGCTAAACATTATTCTGCAAAATATATTTATTGTTCTAAATTATAGGTAAGAAGAAAGCCTGAAGAATTAAAATCTCACTTGGCTTTATATTGTTTATCAATATCATAAGATATTAAGTTAGAGTATTTAGAATTATTAGCTTCTGAAAATTCTTCTAAAAAAACTAAAAATAATAATAGTTCTGATAATAAATTATTAACTAATTTTTATAATTCAACTACAGAGATTGAAATTAGTAAAAAAAATAGAATTGATCAAGTATTAATTAGATTTTTAATATGTTGTAGTATTCTATTTTCTATTATTAATTATCTATATTATATAGATTTTGTTCAAAGTTTTTGTTTTAATTATAAACTTCTTAACAGAATAATACTTTTTTTAACTTTTTTGAATTAAGAAATTTTTACTGTTTTGATTAAAATTAACAAAGAACTTGAATTTGAGAATAATTTAATATTAGGTAATTTTATTATCTTAATATACTAATTTTAATTATTATTTTTTTTTAAATTTAGCAGTCATACTATAACTTTATTTAGATTTGTTTTCTAATTTAAAATAGCATTATTTAGCTATATACTATCTAATGTCTAATTTTTTAAGCTTTAACTTACTCAATTATCCTAAGAATATCTATATATGATCTGCTATAGTAATCTTTGTTCTATACTAATATAATTTATAAAGTTTATAAATTTTATATAGCTAATAGAAAGGATGCCACAGCTCATCATAACTAACTTAAAAACCAACTTACTACTACTTCCTCCTTTACTTCTCTAGCTATACTATCTAATACTATTTTAAGACTAATATTATAGTTTTCTGTATTCTCATCTACTCTATTATTTGCTTTTCTTATTGTAGCTTCTTTTTTTAGTTACTTTTTTCTCTTTTCCTTCTGTATAAATTTTTCTTTCTTAAAGATATTTTCTTTTTTTTCTCATACTTCTATGTCTTTATATAATTTTTTTCAGATTTCTTTGTATACTAATTCTATTCAAATATACTAAAAAAGGTTCTAAAATCTTATTATCATTCTTTTAGAGCCTAGTAATATCTACATTTTTTCTGTATCTTCTTTGCACAAAATTTCTCTTATCTATTCTTTTCTTTTTTCAGATTTCTTTTCATACTCTTGTTAAAGGACTTTTTATAGATTTAATAGGTTCTAGTCTTTCTCTTTTTTTTTTATCTTCCTGTAGTTATTCCTATATTTCTTTTTCAATTTTTTCTAATATTCAATATGCTTTTTCATATATAATTAGATAGTTCATTGTTTTATTTTCCCTACTATATCTTTTGTATAGACTGTTTTTGTATAGCTAAGGTTTTTTGCTATTTAGAACTCTAATTATTAGAAGGAGGTTTTTAATTTACTTAATCTTGAAAAAATATAAATAGTTTACTTTAAAATTTTAGAACTGCTTGTAGTATTCTTCTAATATTCCTTTGAAAACTTTCTAGTTTTGTTTCTTGATTCTTAATTAGTATCTATTATCATTCATTTTCTTTAGCTATGTCTATTCTGCTTTGAATAATATTTAGACTACTTTTTTAATAAATGCTTTTAACAGAGTTTCAAGATTTAGCCTTTTTTATTCTAGTATATACTTTATACTACTATTGCTAGTATTGTTTAATCTTGTAGCATAAGCTATTTGCAATTCTCTTTTGCTAAGATATCTACTATATTGTTATAAATATCACTTTAATAGCTCTTGATTTTTGTAAATCTCAGTTGTAATGCTTTGCTTTTGCAAGCTTTTTGGATTGTATATAGAATATTACTATTCTTAAACTTTAGCCATTCTCATACTTTTCTTTTTTTCAGATATCTTTCAATTGCAGAGATTGTACAAATACTATCAGTTCTTATTTCTACTATATATTTATTTAGTACTAAAAAGATCACTACTAAACAAGTTATCAGCTTTGCTTAAGTAGATGAGAACTAGTTTTCAATTCTTCTTTTATTTCTAAAAACTATATTATTTGCACTATCTATTTGTACTATACTATATCCTATTATTAACTTATTCCTAATATCCTCCCTACTGAGTGAGCTATCTATATAAAATACTATTTCTTTTTCTCCTTTGTTTGCTTCTAATCTATCTTTTAATTCTTTTCTTGTTTCTATAT